CCGCCCTTCCCCTGCTGGCTCATTTTAAATTTCTCCTAATCCTCTGAGTCCCAGATTCCTTTGTGATATAAGTATCTTTTTGTTCCATTCACAAGACAACACTATTTGAATAGATCAGCAGTGGCTTAAATATGAAGGGCATTAGGGGACAGCTGTCTAATTAAAAATATATAAACCTATGCAATTCTTTGTATGTCTGAGAACCGAAGCTTTTTGTGTTACAAAATGAAATTTTATCACATTGAATGTTTATCTGTTAAGGTTTAGACTGGGCTTATTATATAATTATGCGTGCTGTTTTTCTTGTTGTTTTAAATCAGTGCTACAAAAAACAAAAAGAATTTCAAAAATTTCTCTAAAACAACATGGCAATAAAGAAATGTAGTTATGTTTCCATGACAGGAACCATCTGGAGTCAAATAAAAAACTCAATAACTTATCTAGAGATGTCATCTCTAGGCTGTTAAACGTCCAAGTGATTGGTTGAATTTTAAGAGATTTTGGCTGAATTTTGATTGTCTTATTAAAAGAGCTAGTGGGGCTTCAGAATTCCTGCTCTTGAGCATCTGTTGAAGTAAAATATTGCCTGAAACCTCCACCTTAAATATTTACTTTTTTGGGGGGTAGTATATGTAGTTATTTTTAAATTGATTTATATGGCCACATAAATTTGTTAAAGCAGTATTGGAAAAGATTGTGTATTGAACGTCTCATTTATGGAATGTAAAATGGCTACATATGTGTGATTCCTGGCATTCAAATGACAATTGGGAAAGTGGGAATGTTTATATTTTTTCCTATAAATGTTCAAATACCCCAAGATGAAAATTGTAGTTTAAATCCAACTATTTGTTTTAAATAGCTCGAGAAAAAATTCTTGTGGAGGAAAGAAGACCAACTCTAAAGCAAGATAGTTGATCACTTTTAACGAAAAAATAGTGAATAAGAGTGTGCCCATATATTTCCATTTTGAGAAGTTATAGCTGTCCCCAAAACCAAGAACTCTGAAGAAGTGTTTTAGTTGTTTCCATGAAATCTACATTTAAAATTTGTGTCTAAATTATACACGTTTTTAGCTTCTTACGTATATAGTACCGGATGCTTTTACCTTATCACTAGCAAAACATTACTGCACACCATTCAGACAAAGCATCCTATTTATGGTTGGTTTAGGAGAGAAGAATAGTTCTTCAGATGTCTTTTCGTGCAAATAAGTTTAGACTTCATTATTTACTTCTATTTAGTCAAGTATGGAAATTCTTCCATAGTTAATTCTTTGATTATGTGTATTTACAGTTTCTTATATCAGGAACAACGGTCTTGAGTAATCACTGTTGATAATTGCATCTGTCGCTTGCATTTCTAAGTCTGATGGATCTTATAGGATAGTTCAGGTAATTTTGTAATGTACACATATGTACATCCTAAGCCAATAATTTCCTTTTTGCAGGTCGCTCACCCGGAAAAGAGTAATATAAGGCAAAAAGTCTTGGTCTGTCCATTCTCAACCTGTGAGATTTCTTTCTGTCAAAAGGAAATGGTGAAATTCAAGTCAGTGGTGTGAGAAACATCAAATCTCCGTGAACCAAAATGCAAATATTTGAAAGAGAAAATGAGTAGTATTTCAAAAATCTACATCAGTGCCTTTATGGGTCTGGAGCATTTCATGTCAGATTTAGAGGCCATTTAAATCCCTTTTTTAAATTGGGCCCAATGTATTCTGCAGTTAATAGTTATAAAATCCTGTGATTCGATTTATGGAGTTCCTAATGGCCATGTATGGTAAAAGACTAATATAGACACGTTCTTCAAATTCAAAGCCGATTCATCCATAAAGTGCAAGAAAAAGAGAGCTCATTTTGTTTTTTAAAAATCTTGTGGTTTAAGATTTTCATAATGTGTGGGCCATTATTTAGGTGATTTTTTTTTTTTTTTTAACCCAAGTGGGAAAATCACATCTGGTCAGATTTTGTTGTAAATATGTTCAAGCAAATGAAGATAACAGTTCTTTTTTAATCTGTAAGATTATTAAAATCATAGCGGTTGGATATTAAAAGGGCATTTTTTTTTTTACTGCTAATTTTAGATCCCCTTAGCCTGAGTCATTCCTGTTATCTGTATTTATCTGTTTGCTTATTACATTTCAGGCCTGCGACAAGGACCCCCAGTGTGGTGGAGGCATGTGCTGTGCTGTTAGTATCTGGGTTAAGAGCATACGGATTTGCACACCGATGGGCAAAGTGGGAGACAGCTGCCATCCGCTGACTCGTAAAGTTAGTATATATATTTGTGTTCTTGGTGCTTCTCTTACATTGCGGTAACTCAACTCTGAGCAAGGCCTGTGTGACATGAAACCCAGGGTAACGTGCTAGAAGTTGGGAATCAGAGAAGTTGAAGTGGAAGACCACTTCCTCACTCCTTTCCCTTTCCATTTGAGAGAACTGTATCCTTTACCATCCTTAGTCTATTAATCATTTACGTATCATGCTTCTGGTGGCATTAGAAACATTTCATGGAAATAATTTCAAACACTTAAATTTTCTTTAAAAATTTCAGGATATGTGTGAATATATATATATATATATATATATATATATATATATATATACTGTGTATGCTTCTTTGCAGAAATCAGAGTATGGAAGCTCTTGAAAAGACTTTTAATGTCAGACCTGCCGAAGAGGCAGAAGTAAATAAGTTTGTGCTTTGGTTTTTGCAGAAAATCATCCATGATGCAATCACTCTTGTATCTTAACTTGAAAGTCCTATATTTTGACTCTCTCCACAGGATGCCTTGTTCACAACCGTGGAGGTTCATGATATTTAACGTGCCAATGTGTTATCTAACAGCTCAATATCACAATGCCCTGAACACCACTTTTGAAAAGTGATTGCCAAGAAGTGGCAGGACCAATGGCAGGACTGGACAGGGCTTTAGAGGTTGTGTCCCCAGGGGTTGCAGACTCCCCGGACTGCAGGGGTCGGGCAGCTGTACGTGACATCTGGAAGGGGGTGGGTGGCAGGCAGGAGAGAGCAGAGAAGTTTGTGGAGCCTGGAGAATCCTTGCACTTCAGATTCAAAACGTTTGAAATACAGTATGAGTACAGCCAGATCCCCCAGGGATGCCAGGTTGCAGGTGCCTTGCTCTTCTAGTGGTACATCTTCATTTACCCAACAGTTACGTGGGGTGCAGGGGCAGGGATGTGTGCTGAAGGACAAGTCCCAGGCCTGGTGGCTCGTTGGCGGCGAGTTCAGCCCCCTGCAGTGTTCTCTCTACACGTGGTATCCTCTCGTCTTAAAATAGGTTGAATGTTTTCAAAGCAAGCTGGATTCCACCTTCTGCTTCTTTTTTTTTTTTTTTTTTTTTTTCCCACACGTGGCTTAGGGTTTAAAACTGTAGTAGTGCCAAACATCTTTCCCGTCCTCCGGAGTTACAGATAACAGCTAATATTTTGACTTTCTTGGAATGAAATAAGGAGGACATATATTGGCTTGGGTTTCACTCTGTGCGCTGTAGGGGGGGACCCTGGTTGATTGGACCCATCTGAAGACGGCATTGGGCTCTCCTGTGGTTTCCTTGAGAAACACTTCCTGTTGTGTTTAGACCTTCCCTCCCCGTGAGCCGGTCTTGTCGTTTGTAAGCATGATATGCACCTTTTATTCTTGGCCATTTTGAGATAGGAAATGTTTTAAACCATTAGTTGTCTGGCTCTGTGCCAGACTCTACCCCCCCTCCCCACCCCAGGTAGGGGGGTGGATGGTGAAGCCCCAGCCGCCTTTGACCTTGATCTCAGTTTTTATCATCTGCCTTATCCAACGAGAGTCATCTTTTGTCCATTGGAGTCGCTGTTGCTGAAAAGTTGACTCTTAACTCACCCTCCTTTAAGACTTACGTTGTCTTCGTACAGTGTTAGTATAACCTCACGTGCGCCCCAGGTACCAGAATCTCGGGGCCAGTTTGCTAAAGCGAGTGAAGAGTGACACATTCTGGGGGACTATTTTTGTACGAATCGCAGTACTAGTTGCTGCTCGTTGGATGCAGTGGTGTACCAGACACTGGACACTAAGTGTTGTGGATGTGTTTCTCACGGTAATATTCACAGGAAGCCCGCGAAGAAAGATTTACTTTTGTCCTGTTTTCCGTGCAACAACGTTCAGCCGCAGAGGGGCTCAGTAAGTGGCTGAGGTCCCAAGGTGATAGGTCAGAGGGCAGGCTGTGGATTTCACTTCTGTCTGATGCTCCATTGTCTGTGTGGTCTTAACCACTATATCCTTCTACTTGCGTGAAAGCTGTCGTCGTGTTTAGTTTGAACATGTTTTTCAGTGCAGTTAACCCGAACTGGTTTGTGTGGGGAAGATGCTCACTGAGATGAGGGACAATGGTCCAGAGTTGGCCCCTGTCTCATCCTGAAGTTCCGATGAGTTTTCCAAATCTGAGATATTTTGACAAGAGAACCAGATTCTGCCTCCCCGGGTTCGTCTAGTTTCTGGTTGAGGTTTAGTTCAAGGTCAGTTCTGAAAGGAAACAAAGTCATTCTCCTGCCGTAAACCCAGGGACATCTCTGTGCTGTGTTTTTATCACACTTAATAACGAAGTCTATAATAACCGAGTAGGGTTTTCCTGATAGAATTAAGTGATAAAAGAACTGAAGTACAGAAAAAATAAGATTTTAATGTCAGATCTGAACTTACCCCCCTCTCAGATGCCCACTTGAAATGTGTTTCTAGACCTCGATGTTACAGCTTTTCATATTGGTTATTTTCTGTCTTGAAAACACGTTTTCATAGGGCATTTCAATGACCGAGTTCTAGTCCCAGAGTTGTTACTTGTCTTGGGCGAAATTTATCCCGGTGAAAATCTAGTTCTTCCAGAGTATCTTTCAATTATATTCTATTCAGAACAACTCAACAACAAACATTTTTTAATAAACATATCCTGGTGAAACTCCACTCTGAAGTTTTAGAGCTCATTAGTAGATGGTAGAAACGTAGATAGAAAATTCTTTTTGCGGTGCGCGGGCTCCTCACTGTTGTGGCCTCTCCCGTTGCGGAGCACAGGCTCCGGACGCGCAGGCTCAGCGGCCATGGCTCACGGGCCCAGCCGCTCCGCGGCACGTGGGATCCTCCCGGGCCGGGGCACGAACCCGTGTCCCCTGCATCGGCAGGCGGACTCTCAACCACTGCGCCACCAGGGAAGCCCCGAAAATTCTTTTTAATGCAATGTGTTTATTACTTTTACCTCCCTGTTTTCTTTTTGTTTGGTTAAAAAACAAAGTGGATTAACTCTGACTGTGGTCCCAGGTATTGGTGCTTTAAAAACACGGGCTATGAATAGGTGAGGACTACACCTACTCAAATTTTAAACTTTCCATTCTGGTTTGACATTGTAGCTTTTCCATTGTGGCTTGACATTAGCCACAGATGTTTGTTTATTTTGATAAAGTGAACAGTATTTGATGAATGAAACTGAGACCTGTAAGTAGAAACTGGTGGCCCCTGAGTTTATTTTACTGTTTTGTTTCTCAGATGTATCAATTAACTTGTAGAGTTTACAGTCACTGCTAGGCTACGGTTTTGTAATTGTAAAGTTTTTTAACTTCACATTTGATAATTCAAAAATAGAATAAAATATGTCTACCTAAAAAGAATAGGATGCCTGTTTCTAAACACATTTTTAGGCAAATAATAGTTTTTTTTTTTTTTTTTGCTGTATGCAGGCCTCTCACTGTTGTGGCCTCTCCCGTTGCGGAGCACAGGCTCCGGACGCGCAGGCTCAGCGGCCATGGCTCACGGGCCCAGCTGCTCTGCGGCATGTGGGATCTTCCCGGACCGGGGCACGAACCCGTGTCCCCTGCATCGGCAGGCGGACTCTCAACCACTGCGCCACCTGGGAAGCCCCAAATAATAGTTTTAACATGTATTGATTTTTAACAATTAGTTTTTTAACAATTAAGAATGCATTACTAAATCGATGTCTACTGGGAATACTTTGCTGTTTAAGAAACATTCCTTTCTATTAATACCCACATTTTTAGAGTTTATAAAGATTAGCCATGTCCATCCCATTCTGATTACCCATTGGCTTTGGAAGTTTAGAATTATGTGACTAGTACTTTTATTCTTATTGCTTATAATTTTATCAAAAAATTTTAGCAACTATGTTTCCTTCAAACAATTAATCTTGTTTTTAAATTTCATTCCATTTTTTATGTTAACATTTTTAGCCCTCATTTTGGTTTTCTATTTTTATTTTTGAGCTGCACTTTAAAACTTGACTAATACATTTTCCTTTCCTGAAGCAAAAAATTTCTGATTAAAACCTGGGTCTTGTTCATGTTAAAAAAAAAAGGAAGAATTAAAAAGTTATTAGCTGTTTCTATTTCAGAACCAACTTATGGTGAAACATTATAGACATAATTTCCGAATACAGTATAAAATTTTTTTAAATACTGACTAAAATATAACTAATATAAGTGCAAAATGTAGCGGAAGATGGGTGGAAGAAACAAAGTATCCCTATTTGCTATCACAGATGTCAAGAGCCACTGTCTGCATTTGCTCTCTCAGGACCGCTTCATGCCCATGATTACAGGTTCACATTGGCAGAGAGACTCACAAGACATGAATATGCTCTAGGTTAATACGGGGTTTCTCAACCTGGGCTCTTGACATTTTAGACTGGATGGCTCTTTGTTGTAGGAGCCGTCCTGTGCATTGTAGGATGTTTATTAGCAGCATCTCTGGCCTCTACCCCCTAGATGACAGTAGCACCCCATCCCAGTTGTGCCCACCAAAAGTGCCGCCAGACATTGCCACATGTTCCCTGGGCAGGGAGGACGGGGGTGTTGGAGGCGGCTGGAATCACCCCGGTTGAGCACGCCTGTCTAATACGTCATTTATTTAGCCTTACAGGACACAGCGTAGGAAGCACAGCATCTTCGCCTCCTTGGGAACTCATCAGCTCCCCGAGCACACAGCTTCTTTTGCCCTCTCGTCCACACAGGTGCTGTGGCTGCCATACGTGATTGCCAGGGTGTGTGTGTGTCGGGGGTGTCCCCTTGACTCGTAGAAAGTACCACTCATTTCTTGCAGATCTTTTATGATCCCCCTAGTTCCAGAGGCTCAAGGCTCCCCCAGCTCAAGTGCAGTTTCACCCAACCAGTGAGGCTGACCCAGCATTCCCCGCTTTTTTTTACTTTCTCTGGGGACACGCTGCAGTGGGAGGCCCAGGTCCGTGTCAGGTCGGCCTCCATCAACCCAGGCCCCAGGTTAACCCTCTACTCACAGGATGGGAGCAGATAAAGTACTGCATGATTTAGGGTTATGTGAGTATATACCTACTCCAAAAAAAATTAGAAGAAACAATTTCGAACTTTACCAAATTAAGATACGGTGGCACTCTGCATAGCTATTAAAACCAGAAGCCGTGGGACTTGTCATTTTTATTTTATGCACTGTTATACCATTTGAATTTTTTTGAGCTGTGTACTTCTATTGAAAAAGTTGTAACAAGCCTGGTTTTATTAAGGTTAAAATTATAATAGGGCCAGTGCCTTTTATGTCACGTGACTAGGCTTTTCTGCACGTGTCCCATTATGTTTCCTCCTTTTACACAATTGACTCTGTTTTGAGAGTCAGCACGAGTAATACTTCTGTTTCATATCAGGACTGCTTTCTCTTTAAAAGTGCTGCGAATGTACTGGGAATCATGCCTTCTCAAGAGTGCTGAAGGTTCTGCCTCGGTAACTTCTAGAATTTGCTGGTTGGAAACCTAGACTATTAGAAGCATTGGCTTGAGTGTATAGTTGATTCTAAAGTAAACCATCAAGTTGGTGCTGAGTGATGAGCTCCTCGGCTCTCTTTGTACATCTGAAGATGCATCTTCCATGAGCACTTTCTCATGCATGTGTGGCTGTCCGACACCTATTAGGTTTGTCATGACAGTGAGTGTGCAAGTAGCAGTGAGTGGACCAGTCAAGAAACGGGCAACTTATCTATGGGGTGTATCGTGTCGGAAGTCGTGGTCTGTGTGGTTAAGAGCTCACAGATGGAGGAGAAAACTGCTAGAGGCTGGTCCAGTGACGAAGGGCTCAGAGGGAGGAGGGAGAAACACACACGGGATCTTGAAAAAGCATAAAAATAAGAAAAGGGCATTCAGGTATGAAGGGACCTGCAGGACAATCTAATCATTATGTTAAGTTCAGTCGGAGCAGATCTAGGTTGACGCTTCCACAATCTTGGTGCTCTCAGTAAGAAAAAGAATATAACACAAAGATATTTTTGAAGGTTTCACAAAAGCACACGACCTAGTGAGCATGTCGCCAGGGCCCCTCCTAGACCCTGGAGGGACCCAATGTAAGCGAGAGCCTTTGGCTTCTGAGTCTGGTGGAATTGATCAGTGCCAGGCAGGGGGGCTCGGGGCGAAGGGGGAGCTCCAGGACCTGAGAAGTTCACCCCTTTACGTTCAGGGAGGTCACAGCCTGTGGTGGGCGCAGGAGATAGGACACTCTCGAGAAAATATTTGTTAAATGCCTGTGTGCCAAGCAGAGTGCCGTGTCCTCAGAGACAAGAGTCCCTGTCTTCCCAGAGCCTGGAGTCTGGGCCTGGTGGTATTTGGAAGAAGTTGGAGCTGGGTCTGACTGTGACACGTTCCTTTTCTAGCTGGGTGACCTCAGTCAGGTGCGTTAATTCACGTCAAGAGGAGGCCACTTGGCTTGTGTCAAAGCGAGGCAGAAATCTGGCTCCCACTTTGGTGTGACATTCATACATGATGCCTTGATGTGGCCCGGCCCGTGGCAGGCCGCCAGCGTTTCTTTTTTCTGCTACTTTTGCTGAGGACGACCTACGTGACAAGCCAAAGAGTGACCATGGCGTCGAGATGCACAGAGCACCACACACTGAAACCAAGAGGGCACTTCTTCTGAGTGTCTGAAACTACCTTACTGGGTATCTGTCATTAAAATTTAAGTTCCATGAAGGGCAGAGGCCTTTCCTGTTTGGTTCGTCACTGTATCTGCAGCACCTAAAATAGGGTCTGATATGTTGGTGACGCTCAGTAAATGCCTGTTGAATGAATGAATAAAAGACACATGCTTGGTGTTCTCCATGTATACAGTTTGACACCCTTACTACAGTTAGAGCTCACTTGTTCCAGCCTCCTTGGATATCGCTGTCTGTGTTCATTTTTCTCAACCTCAGCACCGTTGACATTTTTTCTGACATTTTTTTAGACCACACAATTCTTTGCTGTGGATACTGTCCCCTGAGTTGTGGGATGTTTAGCAACATCCTTGGCCTGTACCCACTGGGGGCCGGTAGTGCTGCCCCCTCCCCTCATTTGTGACACACAAAAATGTCTCTGGATGTTACCAGATGTCCCCTGGGGGGCTGGGGGCAGAATCACCCCAAATTGAGAACCATTGGTTCGTGTAGTAGTTTGGGGCTCGGTGAAAGGAATCTCTCAGATCTCAGTGTCAAGAAAGGATCATAAAGGTCATGATTTATAGCATCTCGTACCATCCACTTGTAATTG